CTGTCATGCAAACCCATTCCAGGTGAGTAGGGAAGTCAGAAAGTGTGGAGAGATGAACTAACACACCGTTGGTTTTTGACTATTTGTTGCCAGAAATAAAAGACATTGAACATCACAAGCCTGAAGTCTTCTGTACTGCCTCATGGGACGAGCAGGAGGGAGGCTGTGTTTGTGTGTGTGTGTGTTTGTGTGTGGGCTGTGCAGTGAAGGTCGGACAGTTGTCTAATGACTGCCTAATGTGTGAATTAAATTATCTTATATTCTGATATTGTTGGCTCGAACAGGTGTTCTGGTGAGCGAGAGGGTGGCTGAATGAAAAATAAGTCAATGAAAAGATGAAAGGGAAGTAGAGACATTACATAAAGGTTGAAGCAGCCATCTGTCTGTCGCGCTGTCCATGCTGCCTCCTGTTGCTCAGACTACAGAAGTGCAGCTGATCCGCAGCTGTGTATATTCAGGCACACTCATTATTATGGGGGTTGAGTGGGTTGAGTCCCTCAGCCAGTTTAATCTTCATCAGACCAACTGCTATAAAGGAGAGGACAACAACAAAGACGATGGGGGTGTTAAACTGGGTCCTACCAACTTAGCTGAAAAATTCCACCCTCATTTATTTAAACATGATGTGTTTTAACCACACAAACTCCCTCTGCCTCACAGCTCGCACACAGTTCCCACTGTCTCTCCACTTGTCTACCCCTGACATGTTTCAGCCAGTGTATCAGATGATCTGCAGTTTCAGGCAGCATCCTGACACACAACACAGTTACACATCCCCTCATGTATCTCAGGGAGGCCTGTCTGTGGCTACTGCAAAAATATCACATAGTTGTCCTGCAGAGAAATTGAGCCTGGCTCCACCTTTGCCACAGCACATGAAAATCAGCACCTTTCAGCACAACAGGGACCTCAAACATACAGCGCAGACCAGTTTCTGAGTATCCCTGAGGGGCCCAGCCAAAGTCCAGGCTTAAACCATGTGGAGAGACCTGAAGATGTCTAGTCTCACAGAGCCTGAGCGGATCTGCACGAAGAATGGGATAAGCTGCCCAAATCCAGATGTGAAGGCTCACCCAAGAAGACTGAAGCTGGAACTGCTGCAGCAAAGGCCTGAAATAAGGCTGTGAAAATCTGTGAATGAAAAATGTTTAGTTAAACCTTCTAAAACATGTTTTCACTTTGTTATTGATGGTCAAAAATGACGATTTCATCCATTTAAAATGAAATCTGCAACATGGTGTTGAATATAAAGTGAAGGGGTCTGAATACTTCCTGTTTTACTTTGTGCCACAACAAACTATTATTATATAGATGCAGTTTCCAGGAGGCAGGGTGGCTACTGACACACCGCTCCTCCACAAAACACATTACTTGACTAATTGGGTCCCATGTTGTCACCCAGAGCTGAGAGGACTTTACATCCATGTACAGTGACTATTCCTGATCCTGGGCCAGATTAGAAACCATGACAACTGAACAATGTGGGCCTTAAAATATGCATGTAATTAATTTGGAAATCCAGTGAAAAACACACAGCGTCAGTCCTTCCAAACTGTCCTGATGCGTGCCTGCACCTGCAGCGAGATGAGTCGCACACCGAGCAGAGACCCAGAGAGCGTTTTCAGTCTGACGTCAGCAGGACGACAGTGTCCTAGACCCAGGGTGGGTTTCACTCACAAACCCAACTCCTATTTAAGGCAACAACTGGATGGATTGACATGGAATGTGGGTCACATGTTCATGTTCCCCTCAGGCTGAATGGTACTAACTGTGGACTCAGTTATCAGATCATCATCATGTCTGCACAGACAAACTTCTGTTCAGTTCAGTTTCTATTCTTACTACAGTTGGGGGTGTACATGGACACGTACCACACATGCACACTGGAAAGTGCCGACAGCAGGAAGAGCTTTTTTGTATGTTGTATTTAGCGGAACAGCATAAACATTTTTTTAAAAAGTGTATGCAAGCAAGTAACACGAACAGGAGCAGTGTACATGCATGGGTGCACAAAACAAGTGTCCAGGTTACTGGAGCAGCCCTGCAGGGTGGACAGTCCCTGCAGACCTGCACAGACTGGGGATGCTGATTAAATTTACACCACATGTAAAGCATAAATTGACACATTGGACAGATTGTTGATACTCAGCCCAGAGAGATACAACACATACATTAGCCAACAGAGGGACTTAATAGTACTGAAACCCAGCCAGTCAACTTTAGACCCAAAGGCTGGGGGACACAGTGCTGACACACAGCCAAGAACCAGTAAAATATCAGACAGTATTGAAAAGCTGCCAGAAGACACACCACATGGGAGTGTTGAAATGCAACCCACACAGTGAGTAGACATGGAAGAAGAGATGGAGAGTTGATCCAGTCAGAGGACTGAGACCTGTCCAAACAGCCCTGAGAGTGAACTCCTGTCCTGCTTACTAATCAGGTACAGTACAGAGAAAGACAGTGAAGTGAACCAGCCAGACACAGAGAGAGAGACACTGACGAGGAGGTGGGGGGGGGGGGGGGGGGGGGTTGGGGGGTG